TTAAATGTTGGTCAACATTTTATCAGCTGCACTACTTGTCGTCAAATGTCAAAACACTGTCTTCAGGCTTTCGAGAAGTCTACGTCTGGTTCATGCCCAGGTAGTACTGTCGACGTTTATTTGCTTACTTGGCAACTAAAGTTCACCCAGGGCAGTTCTGCGAAATGTGGACCCATCGAGTAACTAACGATTAGACTATCAACTAAATACATTCTTTGGATGTGAGTCTTGGTCATCGTTTTTCGGTTTCTGTTGCTAACTGAATCGAGCCCTCCGGATCCGCTATAGGAGATCGTTCTGTATGGAGAGCTACAACCGCGACGTCATCTATGTGGGCTAGAACAGATATGCTCACAGCCGTACCACGTGCTCAAGCCTTCATGATGTCTGACTGCCTAGGCTGCCTGATACCTCTATCGGACTGAGTTGTCGTAGTTTGCCAACGACTACTGCTTAACACAGGTTCTTTTCAAAACACGAGCTCTGAATTTTCATTTTCGCGAACTCAACTGATGCTGCCCTTGTACTCGGGTCTTTTCTCGGTCCCCCACCCCCTCCTTGCACTCTCATCATTCTGCTTTCTATTCCAACTGAATTTACTTTTCGATTCACCGCATGTGCGATTTACCTGTGCTTCCTCGTTGACTGCTGCATATTAGCGCTGTGTGCCACCTATTCCAAGTCGGTTTTCTTTGGGTTTGCGGCACTGACCTCGATTGGCAATCTTCTCTGTTTGTTTCCCCTTCCCACCCCTCCTCCTTTTCCACAGCCGTTCGCGAGCGACAACTCGGGCAGCAGCCATGCCGTCGAAAATCCCACGTTCCAGTTCTAAAATTCCCCGACCGGTCTATCGCAAATAACTGCAGCGATATCCCCTACCATCGCCAACAAGCGAATGACCGGGTGTGCAAACACCCTGACATAGTAACTTAAATGTTCTCTCTCTCTCCCTGCTTTGCTTCTCAACTCGCCCCCCACACACAGACATACATTTTGAACCAAACAACATGGTGACAGCATCGACGCGCTGTTATTGTCTTACTTTTTGCAGCTTAATAGCTCCCCCTTCGATGTGCGATGACTTTTTTCTAACCGTGAATGCTGCTCACATATCGCCAGCGCAACTCGATTAACATTGCTCTGTAAGTGGTGGGCTAAAGTGTACCCATGTTTCTCTGAAAAAAAGCTCCTATCGACAAATGAAAGTAAGCCAAAGGATGTTGTTTCCCTCTCGCGATTTTTGATTTGTCTTCCAATTTTGTGTGCTCTTATACCCTTCTCCCCCAGTGACAAACTCACCGAGGAGATGCTGAACCTGTTGGTGAGCAAGGCCTGGAAGGAGCGTCAGGAGGGCCTCAACCAGATTCAGGAGGTGCTCACAGGCGCTCAGTTCATCGAGGGCGGCCCTAAGCTGCAGGATCCGTTGACTGCTGTCGCCAAGGTCTGTACCGATGTAAACAAGATTCTCGGCAAGAATGCTCTGGCCATTGTGGAGAAGTTTGCTAAGGCTCTGTCCAAGTCAGATGCCAAGAAACTTGTCAAGTAGGTCCCCCTTTCATTCATGATATGCCTGTCTGCAAATGTTAGGCCTTTGTCTTAACTGCGAAACTTTACTCTAGATTCAGTCTCGCATCTTGTTTATTGCGCCGTAGCGCCCTTTTCTGTAGATAAGTCTAGGGTAAGGCACTTTTCGGCAAATTTTCCAGCGGAACCGACTCCCGCCCCCCTTCCTATGTCTGGGACACAATTAAGTGCACATCACTACCGACAGTTATCTCACCTGTGGTTGCCTTTGTATCAGCCCTGCGTTTTCTTTTCTCAATCAGGTCTGGCGGTGCATTCGTTTACAGCCTTCGCCTATCCACTGTAAATGCAGGGGCATGTCTCGGCACATTAGGAAGAGTTTGGGAGCTTTCAATAATTCATTTAACCCAATTGTAAAAAAAACTCGGAGGCCTCGGTGGGATTCGAACCCACGCCAGCACGGGGAAGGTTTGAGTACAGCCAATGCTCTAGCCAACTGAGCTATCGAAGTGACACCGAAAAACGTGAGTTTAATCACACCTGGGTCAATTAACCCGCCTGGTCTATTTCAACGTATGGAATCCAGTAATTGTGATACAGTAAGCAGGATTTTCTAAGCAATCAATCTAGAATCTACCAGATGACTACCAGGTATATTTAATTATCAGGAAGAGTTTGGCAGATTTCAATAATGCCTCTGACCCAATTGTGAAAAACTCGGTGGCCTCGGTGGGATTCGAACCCACGTTGCAGTAGGCTGGTCGGGTAAATCGACCAAAGTGTGATTAAGCTAATGGCT